GCGGCGGCGGCGATGCCGAGGGGCCCGGCGCGGCGGGGCGCGCCCGCGGGGCCATGAGGGCGGGCTCCGGCCATGGCCCATGGCAGCGCGGCGGTCATGCTGAAGTGCGTGGTGGTGGGGGACGGCGCCGTGGGCAAGACGTGCCTGCTGATGAGCTACGCCAACGACGCCTTCCCCGAGGAGTACGTGCCCACCGTGTTCGACCACTACGCAGGTGAGCGGGCGGGGGGCCGCGGCTGCCGCCCCCTCTCCCCCGTCCCTGCTCACTCCATCCCCCGGCCTGGCCCTGCCGGGGGGTTCGGAGGGGGTCGGCCGAGGGTGCCCTCCCTCACCCGCTGTGTTTCTCCCCTCTCGCAGTCAGCGTCACCGTCGGAGGCAAGCAGTACCTGCTGGGGCTCTACGACACCGCCGGCCAGGTGAGTGCCGAGCGCTGCCCGCGGGCCCCCCGGCCCCGTCCCCCCGCCCGGCGGCGGTCCCGGCCATCCCTGAAGTTATTCACAGGGCTGCGGTCCGAGCTGGGCGGTTCGGAGCCGGGTTGTCGGGGGAGAGGGGGATTGACAAAAACCAGATTTAAAAGAAAACCATCGATCCAACCCCGATTTCCGAGAGCGGGCAGGCGGAGACGGGCTTTATTTTTAGCGGTGCTGGGGCCAGGGCGCCGCGGCATCGACCGGTGGGGGCGGAGGGATGCCCTGCGCCTGCAGGGCATTGCTCTGGGCCGGGCATCGCTCTGGGCCGGGCATCGCCCCCGGCCAGCCCCTCTCCCCCCTGGGGTGCCGACCCTCCGTCGGCCTTCAGGTGGGAAAATATGCCCCGTTCAGCACACAGGGAACACGCTGCCTCAGCCGCCTCGGGTCGGATGGAGAGCCGGGCTGCCGCAGCTTGCCTTGTTTGTGCTTTACAGCGCTCAAATAGCTCCAAAGAGTTGTTTAAACTAAAGGTGGAAAATAATAACGTGGGGAAAAAAAAAATCAGCCACTGCCTTTGAGATAACCTGGGTTTCTTTTGCTGTCCCAGACAATTCAAGTGATTCATTTGGTTAAGATTACAGCCGGTTGTGAAAGATGCTGTGATGTCAGCACGGCTCTTAAGTAACTTTAATGATGGATAAAATGCTGGATGTTTGGAGGGGTCGCTGGTGTAGTGGTTTCTAAAGGGCTCCATGATTCAAGTCACCTCTTTGTTAGCTTAACTTGCACGGCACCAGCTGCGGGCCGAGCATGGTCTCCTCCGGGGTTAGAGTACTTCCAGCTTTCTGGGGATGCCTTATTGGAAGCAGTTTGCGAAGGGCCTGACCCCAGGAGGTGTGGAGCATATATGGAAATGCTGCGTGGGTTTCTGTAAAGTTGCGTATTCCTTATATTAAAACTTGTTCTTGCAGCATGAGCATGTGCTTTGGTCTCACATGACCTCAGACATGCTTCCTTGTTGTAAAGAGCAACTAGTAAGATAATCTCACGGAACTTGCATAGACTGAAGTGGTAATTTTTAACCATGTTATTCCTATACTTAATTGAACAACTGCTGCCTGAATTAGTGTACCTTTTTAGATCTGCATATAGCCTTAGGAAAGGGAATCAGCATTTGAATGGTCTTTTATATCTTTGTTAGGCCTGAAATCAGTAATGTAATTAATTCCATGAGGATTGTAGGAAACAGCCCCATTTCCAGAAAGCTCACCCTGAAGGGTGAGACTCTTCCCACAAAGACTGACTTCATGGTTGTCATTTCACTGACATAAACACAAACTAGTCAAATTTGTGCCAACTAAATGCATTTCTTATTACTGTCATTGTCCTGTTTTTCAATAGTAATTGGTTCAAAACACGGCTTGTAAAATGTTGCTTAAGTAGGTTACAAAATGAGTATTTAGCGCTCAAAGAAAGCATTTAGTTAATATGCAACTAATTTTCTTTTCTTTTTTAATAGTGAGCATTGGAAAGTGTGAAAGTGACCCTAGCACTACTGTACATATGCATAGTGTATTTGGGGATGCCGTCTCAAACTGCTTGTGCTGGGCTTGTTGCTATTAATGGGAGTATGTGTTGTTAGGTCTGTGTAACCTTAACTAAGGTGGTTTTGTGGTATCCCACTCTGTGTGAATGTGCTGAGTACAAACCCAGGTGACCCCTGGCCTCCTCAAAAGTTAGGAGGGTAAACTGGCCAGTTTACAACAAACAGCAAGTGAAGGTATTCCTGTTACACTAAAAAAATTTTGTCAGTGTGAAGTTGTATATCCAGAGGTGTAAAAAGTTGAGGTAAGCTTTTTTTCCAGTTTCTGAAAAGCTGGATTCTTCAGTTTGAATTACAGAGCAGTTTTTGAGGTACTTAGGAACAGGTCTTGCTGGCCTGATTCAGAGGAGCCTCAGCTCATGTAGGGTCTTTTAATGAGGCTACTTAACAGATATATCTAGTCTTGGCAAAACTCCCCTTTTAGTCAGACCTGTGGTGCTAATAAAATCTTTACCACTATGCCCATCCCACTTCAGCATGTTTGGGGAACTGGTGGACATCTGAGGCTTCCAGTCCAGCAAGTTCATTCAGCTAAAGGCCATTTTGTCAGAGAGTGGGCTGAAAGCCTGTCTTTTTTTTTTGCAATAGCAGAAAGCTTCCTTTAAAGCTTAAACATATATAGTAAAGAGCAGAAAAGACATGAGCTGGTGATGCCTTCTCTGTGGTGGGAAAACAGCATGCTGTATCTGATACATGCCTGCTGCCCAGAGTTGGGATTTCCATGCCAGCATACATCAGTGCTTTTATTTCTAATTCTGTCACCCCCAAATTGTTTTAATGTAGAATACTGGCCTGATAGTATAATTTTATCAAAACTTGGCAGTGCGTGATCACTGTGGTGTCTAAGCAGTTCACAATCTTCAGCATGTTTATACTCCCAGCTCTGGACAGAGTACAGATACAGTCTACAGATCTCAATTCAGGGGGAAGAGGAGTGAGGGGTTAAATGAAGGTTTAAACAGTGACCTACTCCAAATCCATACGTGAAGTCCATAGCAGAGCAAAGATTAAAGACCTTTTGGTTCATAGCTGGTGCACAGTAGGCTCATCGCCCTGAAATACTGACTTATCAGTGTGTGGGTCTCTTTAACTTGCGTGGTTATGTATTTAGCAACTTGTGACAGACTTTGCTTTGGCAGAGGAGTTGCAAGCTTTTGAGTTCATCCAGTACTCATTTCTAGCTTGCTTCTTCATAACACACACAGGATCACATGTAGTAACTATAATGATGACATAAGGCCTCATAGTTTAAAGTAGGTTGAAAATAAATCTATTAAAATCCCATTTTTTTCTAGTTATACATAGCAGAGAAAAATGCCACTAGTGGTTCACAACGTTCAGTTTATACACAGGGTGTGTGTGAGTTCAAGGCAGCTCTTCTCTGGCTGAAAATACTGAGGCCCTGGTTCAGCAGAAAATAGCCAGTACAGCTGCTGAGCAATGGAGGCTCTCAGAGCCCGTTTGGATTTGCAGCTGTGGAGGCAGCCTCCCGTGTCAGGGAGGCATGTGGGAATTTGGTGCCATTCCTCCAGCAATTCCTTCCAGAGGTGGAGCCAGCAGCTCCTTTTAGCCTTCTGCTTGCAATGTGTGGGCTTAGAGTGGGTCTTGGTTTCTGCAGGAAGATGAGATCTGTGGAACCTACCTGCATTGAAGATCTGCATCAGTGCACTGAAGTTTAAATGTGAGGTGCTTGTGGTACTGATGCTTGGATGCCTTTGGCTTTGTAGTTGCCTGTCTTGCTCTGGGAGACTATGTCTCAGTACTGCTCTTCATTGAGCAGGGCTATGTGGCATAATCAGCTTGGGAAGAGAATCATGGCTTCATGAGGGGTCTGTTAAGATCACCATGTTGGAATGCTTCTGAACTGGTGACAACTGATTATCATTTTGATCTTCCATAATACCAGAAGTAATACTGCCAGCTCTCATGGTATTAACATTTCTGAAGAAATGTCTGTAAGCACTAACAAAGAGGTGTGGTGTGTGTCCCTTTGCCATGTCCCAAATGATTGGGATAAGTGGGAGGACACACAGCAGTTGCCTTTTGGAGATTTCGCTCTATATTGAAGGCTGTTGTTTAAAATGGCAGTTGGGGTCCATCCTCCTGCCAGCCCCTTTTGCTGTCAATTTTCCTTCATGGTGTCCCTTTCCTCCAGTAGGTGCTGACCGCATACAGGTGGAAATCTTGCTCTGCTGCTGTGAAGGATGGTTGGGACCTAGAGGGAGGATAGGGAGGCTGCAGTAGCAGAGCCTGTGTTGCTCCTGTTTCTGTGGGAAGAGAGATGCTGAGGCATAGCATGGCTGTTTGGTGCCTGTTTGGCACCAAGCCAGCATCTGGGAAGTGCAGAGAGGGGTATGGGGAATCTTACTATGGTGCAGTGCCTCATAATAACATTGATATCCCTCAGCATCACTTACCGTTGTGATACCAGTGTGGTCTGCTTGGACAAAGCTGAGGTAAACTCTGTTCCTTGTCTTTTCACTTTTATATCTCTGCCTTAAAGGCCTTAATATGTGGTCTGATACAACAAAGCTCTCAGTGCCTTCTCAGCTGTCACCAAAATAGTACCACAAAACACGCTAAGCACAGGAGCACAACAATCCACTTCTTGGTACTTCTCAGTTCAGGTACCGATGGTCACTCTGGTTGCAGCCACAGCCATCTTAATTCAGATACAGTGATTTTTTGGTTGCAACGGAAGCCCTGATGTTAAAAGCAATTTTTTTTAAAGTTGGTCAGGCTGCTGAAGTGTGTAAAGCTAACTCAGATATTAGGAAGATCTGCATTAAGGTGATATGTAAAAACAAATGGTTATAACTGTGAATGTGCCCGTGTGTGAGGTGTGGTTATTAAATGGATGGTCACCAAACTTGCAGCAGTTGCTATAAATAAATAGCTGAAATCTTTAGACTCCTTGCTGGCTGTTTGTCTTGGCTTTGGTAGGTAGCCCTGGGCTAGCAGGTACCACTCTGGTATCCTACTGAGAGGAAAGGCAGCTGCTGATCATTTTGGCTGGTCTGTTGTGAAATAGAAATGCTCCTTCTCAGAGCACACTGCTCCTTCAAGTTGCCCCTACCAGGCAGTCGTAGTGCCAAATGCCAGCCTGGAGCAAAGCAGTCTCACACAATGCAAAGCTTGCCATCCTTTACTGCAGAGTTGTAAACACCGAGACCTCTAACGTGATTTTGGCAGATCCTGACGTGAGATATTAGCAATTAAGATCCTGTCCCCTTTCTGTTCCCCCTTGTGCCTCCCTCCTCCCACATGCATTTTCCCTCGCTCCCTTTACATGTCCCAGCCGAGCTGGCAGCTGGTGCTGGGAAGCTGTGAGCTCATGAGCTCACTCCCGGCTGGCGTGCTGGCCTATGAATAGCTCAGCCTCCGCTGAAGCTGCTCTGTGCCT